CTGATTTCCACAGACTCTTCTGATTTCTCATGATTTCTTCTAAATTCCTTTGATTTCCTCAAGATTTATTTAAATTTACCAATTTATTTACATTTAAATTTATTAATTTTCCTTTAACATTTTGAGTGTTTTTAACGAAAAAAAAGTTGATAAAGTGCAGGTAGACGCGAACCTTGAACTTTTAAGTCTAGAAATCGCATTTTGTTTATCTTTTTTTTATCCAAAATAGTAATCTCTGTAATAATTTTATTTTATGTTACTTCCGTTGCCCCAGAAAATTACAATATTTTATAGTTGAAATAATTTAAGCGTGCTAGGTCTCAAAACATTAAAGTAATTCAGGAACGCAGGAAAGAGGGCTATAAATTTATACATGTATTTTCTTTATGTTTCACACAATCTCATTCTGGCATAATAATTTGCAATCTTAAATTACTCAACTTGTCAAAATTTTTCAAAGTCTTGTAATAATTCATGTAAGTCATTCGATTGGCTTAAAGATGTCAGTAAGCTTTAACATCAATAAATCTGTTTTCTCAGCGGACTTGGGGTTTAATAAAATCACAAAGCAATAAAGTGAACGAGGAAACAATGCGATTAGTGATTATTGGAAAAATTTACATTGTATTCGAATTCCTCTGATACCAAATTATGCCATAATTTGCATCATTTATTTTTTATTTTATTAAGAGAAATGCGTAACACCTGGTGCAAGTTTAACCCTTCTGTGGGAAAATATTGATCTTTCAATATAGAACAGCCATGTTATTATATGGCCGGTGTTTGTGGTAAGTTATTGCAATAATTTAAACTTTTTTTTCTCGTGATATTTTTAATTAATTAACACAAATGATTTATGTTTTGACAAAATGAAAAAACATGCTTGTGTTTAGTAATTGGACTCATTTACATAACTTTGCAACTCATTATTCATTCAAGTGTAATCTTTGAGACAATAACTCAAGTGCACAATAAGACTTTTCGGAATACTAATCAAAAAAAATCAAAAAAATCTGCTTCAACGACACAATTATGCAAATTTTGAATTCAATTCATGAACGACACTTTAATCTACTTCCAAAGTTTCCGACTCGTGCTTGAATATGGCAAAAATTCCATCGTTGGAATAATCACCACATTTTAACAAGAAAATGAAATATTAATTAGGATTGTGGGATATGTGATCGAATTCACATTAATTTACCTTTCACCACATTGTTCATTTGTGTTGTTTATGATTTGCTGAATAATTTCGCCATTTCTAGGAGGTCGGATCGATCACGCCCACCATTACAACAACGCTTACAGGGCTTTAGACGAAACGCTTGCGATGGAAACGGCCCTATTGGCAGCTTTAGCCCTTGTAAATCCAACAGAAACGTTAATTGTTGTTACTTCTGATCACTCACATGTGCTCACAATGGGAGGACAAGCCACCCCGAGAGGACATCCTATTCTAGGTATTTTTTTTACTTTCTTCCCTAGCAGCGATCTAGAACTCTAGGGATAGTTCTAGTGGAATTTTTTTTCGGATTTGACTAAGTTTCATTTTCATTTAGTAAAGTGTTTTTTAGATTGTAAAAAATAATGTTTTAAAGAAAGTGCTAAATGTACTGACTTTTTGATTTCAAAAGAAGAAAAATTCTTAGGGAAATTTATTAAAGTGACAAAACATCGTGCTACAAAAGACAGTTGGGGAGACTAAGGAAGTGTCTAGAAATACCGGTTTAAACAATATCCAGATTTGCAAAAAAACGTTTAAAAATTTCTCAAATAGAAATGCTCAAATTTAAAAAATGTAAATTGAGACTTTTCAAAATATCGTGCTAGCCTTGATGTGGTCAAATCCTGTCGCATTTGACTAAAAGTTTGATTTTTATTTATAAATATATAAACATTTTAACATTTAATTTAATGTAATAAAATAATACTAGAATAAAACATTGAATAAGTAGTAATTTTTATTCCTATCATAAAGTAATACAATAATAATTTTCAAAAAATAACAATGAACACATCATTTTTTGTGATTTTATAGAATCTGGTCTTAAGTATTAAAATTTTTGGTAGGTATTATTTTGTATGTTCTTTGGTACTTATGGTGAGTACTTAAGTCCGCTAGTTTAAATCAATAAATGTTGAATGGGAATTCTAAACCGGTTAAAAAATATATATAAAAAACGACAAAACTGAACCATCTTCTCGATTTTTATCGAGAAATTACATATTTTTGATTACTTGATAGAGAAAATGGGAAACTGGAATCTGGTACTTATCTTTTGCATGTTGTTCTTTTCAAGATCTTAAAAGTTCTATTTCTAGAATAAACCAAACAAATACTTTCGCAAAAAAAGCAAAAAAAATAAGAAAAAACTTGACACATTCAAGGAGAAAAATTACAAAATTTTAAAAAAGTGGTCACAAATCAATTACTTTTTTTGATTTTTAACCAAAATTTTATCATTTATTTTCAGAAAATTTAGTTATAAGCTTAAAAAAGTAACTAAAAATAAATAAAACTAAAAATAAATAAATAGGCTGATTTTTAAGACCAAAATTTAAATCTTGAATTTTTTAAAATATTCTATACCAAACATTCAAAAATCAATATTTTTTGTCAATGGGGGCGAATTATACGGTTTTTGACTTTTTTTGATCGGAAAACTATTTACATATCGAAAAATTAGAATTTCGACACCAAATTTGAAAAAATCCTACAATTTTACCCATATATTTCTCACAGGGGTCACAAATTTGTATTTCAGAGTTCATTTTGTATAAAATTTTCGCTCAGTTTAGATCAAAATAATTTTTGGTGTTTTTTTTGGATAGTAGAGTCCTAATTTGTGTCTAAATTCAAAATTATTATTTTTTACGTTTCTACAATAAAATTAACGCGTATGAAAACTATGTTTTAAACGTTTACGAGAAATTAATATTTACTTAGGAGCTTCCAGTAATGGCATTTAAAATTGCTTTATTCTTAGTTCCACATACTTATTACAATTTTTATAAATGATAAGCAATCACCAATAAAGAAACGATTTAAATTGTTGAAATAACAGAAAAATTCCTTGCTATTTCTTGATAATTCCGTGAAAATTATCCTCTGAAAAATAAAAGTTCAAAAAAAGCCATAAACTTTGTTGTGTTATACAAATTGTTTGATGACGTTTTTAGAGATTAAAGTAGTGAAAAGGCTATTGAAAGTACAAATTGGATAAGAACTATTTTTTATAATCACTTGTCGTTTCTATGTATAACTTTCATTTAAAAAATATTTTTAAATTCAAGAAAACAAGTTTCGTTTTGAAGTGTCTACATACTAAAAATTTATGAAGTTCAATTAAAAGGTAAATATGGTACCACTTCAAAAACTATAATCAAATGCTGATTGGTTAATATTTTTTTATTCTTATCATAAACATAATTAATAGATTTTAGACACTTTTTGAGGTTTTTGACAAGGTTTTGTAAATTTTGCAAGTTTTCCTGAAATGCGACGAATTTTGCAATGAGTGCTTTTTTGGAAAATTTTATTTAAAAAAATCAATATTTGCATGAATTTTACTGATTTTTATATTAAACTTCAAAAAAGAAGAAAACTTGTCTGCAAGCTCGCATTTTTAAACTCAATGTTGAAGAAGAATTTAATCAAAGCTCACAAATTTTTATTACATTTTAGCTTGTTTACAATTTTAGAATTAAAACGGAAGTTATTAATTAACATTGCAATTGTTTGTCTCTAAAAGTGGACATTGCAAATGTTTACGGTCACCACTGAAATAAATGTATTTTTCATCGTGCAAAATACCACATTTTAGTAATTTTCTCTCGTTTCAATATTCGGGATAAAACACTCTGATATTTTTTGCTTCATTTTAGAAATAACAAACTTTAAATTCAAGAAGTTCAAGTTAAAATGTCTGTGCATTCGTGCACGACCAAAGCGTTCGTTCGATGCAGAAAAAGAGAATTTTTCGATATTTGAACTCATTGTAAATTCTTTTCCTCCACAAAAATATTTTTTTCCTAATACTCTCCAACTAAATGGCTCACCAATCAAGTATTGTTTTTCTTTTGACAGAGCAAAAAAAACCGATAGATTTCTATGTGTCGCTTCCAATTACCTCCACATCAATACACACTGACTTAATCGAAAAGATAATCTTCCAGTTTTTTGCAACAAAAATACTTCAGTGCTTTGATTTTTTCCTCTGATTGCATCAACTATTTACTAGGATTTCTGCTGACAGCCTTCAAGCTCGTTTTTAGTCGTCTCGGATTAGATTGGTAGAGAGTAAAGCAAAAGCACGAAATGGAGTCGAGTCGTGTTTGAAAAATTGTCACTAAAATTAAGGCGATTAAAAAAAATGTGAAAGGAAAACTTTTAATAATATATTTTATTACAAAAAAGTTAGAAACCAAAATATAAAATAGAGCGTTAAAAAACTAAGAATACATTAAAAAAAATGATTTTGACTTTCAAAGAGTCTTAATTCAAGATTTAAATTTATTTA